GCCTTGCATGGCAGAGAGGGAGGTATTTCCTGTGGTACACAATATGAGTCTTTATTTTTTTTTCAGTCATTTGATAATCATTCATGTTTTAAGAAATAAAAGAACAAAGCACCTGAAGATTTACAAATAATACTAGCCAGTATTTCTGTAGCACTTTAAGGATTACAAAATACTTCACAAATGTCATCTCATTTGATCCTCACAACAATCCTGGGAGATAGGCACTATTATAATCCCCATTTTACACATGTGGGAGCTGAGGCAGACAGTGGTGAAGTGACTTGCCCAGCTGGTAAGTATCTGGGGCTGCATTTGAACTCAGATCTTCCTGAGCTTTATCTGTTGTGTCACCTAGCAGCCTCATTCAAAGTCCTTCAGTAGTGAGCTACATCCCTGGGAAATAGATATTTTAGGCATTCTTATCCTGATTTCGCTGATTAGGGAGTTGAAGTCCAGAGAAGTCAAGTGACTTGCCTAAGGCCACACAGCTAGAAGTAGCAGAGCCAGATTTGAATGCAGGTCTTCCTGACTCTAAATCCAGCCATTTCTCCCCCCCTCCCCTCCTTGTTAAATCCTCCTGTTATATTTCAGGCTCCTTTGCCCCCCCCGGGGGAATTTTTTTTTTTTTTTTAGGTAATTGGGGGTTAAGTGACTTGCCCAGGGTCACACAGCTAGTAAGTATCAAGTGTTTGGTCTGAGGTTGGATTTGAACTCAGGTCCTCCTGACTCCAGGGCCAGTGCTGTATCCGCTGCGCCACCTAGCTGCCCCATGCCCCCCTGAATTCTTTCTCTAATTGAAGGGAACAGGGAAGGAGAACAAAGTGATTGGATTAAGGTCAAATTTGCTAGAAGTGAGGATTGGGAGAAGAGAATGGGAGGATGAGAGCAGAAAGGGGTGGAGAAGGAAGGCTCAGGGCCAGGAAAGGAAGATAAGGGAGGTGATGGGTTAGGAGGCTTGGGAGGTGTTTAAAAGGTGGAGGGGGAATGGATAAGAACTGAAAGGAAGTTGGAAATCATCAGAATAATGAGGAAGGAAGGAGGATGATGGACATGGGATGGGATGGGGGAGAAGGAAGGGCATGAACAGAAGAGGGGCAATGGAAACTGATGTAAGAAGAACAAGGAAGAACGAAAATGGTGACAACATAGGGAGCAGACTGTAGCTGGGAGCTCCCATCAAATACACAACTGGGGAGAAAAGAGCCAATTTGATTGCACAAACATTTCTCTACAGCTGTCCATGTGCAATATCCTGTGCTCTTTGAGAAGGAAATCGAGATGTAAAATGGTGGTCTCTGCCCTCAAAGGGTTGGGGAATATGACATATGCTCAAATAAGTAGGGGACCCAAGATAGACTGTGGAAGAGGCAATGGGGAAAGAGCCCTAGACTAGGATCCCCCAAAACTCTGCTTAACTCTGCCACTAGCTGTGTGATCTTAGCTCACTTTCACTTTCTGAGCCACAGTTTCTTCAGCTTTAAAATGGAGACAATACTATTTGCACAGCCCACCTCTCAGGGTGGCTGAAGTAAGGTACTCCATAGGCCTTATGGTGTTATATAAAGATGCAGGAGCCATTTTCATCGAATTTTTCAATTTCATTTTCATCCTTGGAGTTGTAAGGGCCTCCAGTGGCCTCAGCAGTGCAGTAGATAGTGTTATGCACCTGGAGTCAGGAAGACCTGAGCTCAAATCCAGCCTCAGATACTTACTAGCTGTGTGACCATAGGCAAGACATTTAACCTCGGTCTGCCTCAATTTCCCCATCTGTAAAATGTACCTACCTCACAGGGCTGCTGTGAGGACCAAATGAAATATCTGCAAAGTGCTTTGCAAACCTTAAAGCACTATATAAATGCTAATCCAGCCAGAACCTGTCTCAGGAAACTCCTTAAGTTATTTACCTGAGCAAAGAAGTTTTGTTATTGGCTTTGGCCAAGGGAATTCTCCATCATGAAGAGCTAAGGGAATGTGAGTTTATCATTGGAGTCATCAGTATCCTGAATGATTCAAGGCTGCAGTCAGAAACCACACATGAAGAGGGATGGGTTCTCCACAATATATATGGGGTCCCTTTAGGAATTGTGGGCAGCATGAAAAAAAAAAAGAAGCAGGATGAGGGAAAGGGAGGAGTGGTGGATATAGGGAGGAAATGAGGCAGGATGACATAAATAGAGTCAACAATTTTACATTTGGGTGGGAGGGGGGGAAGAACATTCTGAGCCTCCAGACACACATCAGGACAGGGAGACAATAATTCAACCACCTTTAATCTAGCTCTGACTGGGTGCAAGTCCTTAAAGAGTACCCAGAGGGTAGAGGAAGAACAATTCATTTTTAAGTTGTTATTGGTGTCTTTTGTTTATATTCTTAACTCTTTATGGTTGACACAGTACTTTTCTCTCTACTAGGACAGCCCAGTAGGATGGTATTGACAAGCATTAGCTCTCCTGGCAAGCATTAGTATCCTAAGGTGAAGCTGAAGTAAAGACTTGCCCAAGGTCACACAGTCTACTGGCTGAGGCTTAAATCCAAGCCTACAGACTCCAAATCCAGCATGCTTTCCACCACACAATAAATAAATAAGACACGGGCTCTACAGAGACAGCCTAGCTGAAGTAATGGATAGGGTTCTGCATACGGTGGAGTCAGGAAGCTCTGAGTTCAAATCCAGCCTTGACAGTTACTAGCTGTGTGACCCTGAGGGAGTCATTGCTTCTGGGAGATTTAGTTTCCTCGTCTATAAAAAATCAAGAGGTTGAACTAGATGGTCTTTTGGGTCCCTGATCCTTGGGGAGCTCTTTGTGTAACATGATGGGACCACAAGTAGGGAGAGATGAGCATTAAAGGATGAAATAGGGGATAGGAGCAGTGTATGAGTAGAGAAAATGGCAGTGGGAAGGTGAATAGGGGACAGCCAGTCATTAAATATTCATTAGGTGCCTACTATGTGTCCAGCAGTGTACAAGGACCAAGAAATACAAAGAAAAGCTTCCTGTAGAAGGTAGGATATTTTTTTCTTGGACTTGAAGGAAGCCAGGAAAGCCAGGAGGTAGAGAATTCCAAGCATGGGGTTCAATCAGTAAAAATGTATGGAATGTCTTGTTTAAAGACAACAGAGGTCACTGCATCACAGAATACTTGGTGGAGAGTAAGGCGTCAAAAGACTGGAAAGGGGGAAAGGTTATAAAGAGATTTAAAAGCCAAATGGAGAATTTCATATTTGATCCCAGAGGTGATTGGGACCTCCTGGAGTTTATTAAATAGGGGTTGTAGCATGGTCAGACTTGTTCTTTCAGCAGCTGATGAAGGAGGGGTTAGAGAGGAGATAAAATGATGGTAAGGAGATCAACCAGCAGGTGATTTTGTTCAGGCATGAAGTTATGAGGGCTTGTGCTAGGCTGGTGGCAGTATCAGAAGAAAGAAGGAGGTATATAGAAGAGATGTTGTGACGGTTACATTGACAGTATTTAGCAGCTTGGTATAGAGGAAAAGCCATGGAAGAACCAAGGGTGACCTTCAGGTTGTGAATCTGATCACCATCAAAAGTAATAGGGATCACTTACTAGCTGTGTGACCCACTTAACCCTATTGCCTAACCAAAAAAAAAATGTAATAGGGAAGAAGGAGATGGGGTGGGCTAAAAGATGAGTTATTTTGGATATGCTGAGTTTAAGAAGCACAGAAGGGATCACACGTGGACAAAGTTCAAGAAGCCCTGATCTTTAGGACATCCAATTTGAGATGTTCAGTAGGCACCAGGAGGTTCAAGCCTGGAAGTCAGCAGAAAGGTTAAGGCTAAGTAAATAGATTTGAGAATAATCAGCACAGAGATGATTGAATCGATCGGAGCTAATGAGATCACCAAGTGAAGAGAGCCCAAGGACTGAGCCCTGGGGTGGCACTGATGGTTAGTGGGCTTGACCTGGATGAAGATTCAGCAATGGAGGATGAGAAGTGGTTAGGTGGTTAGGGGAAGAACCAGGAGAAAATAGTGTCCTGAAAACCCAGAGAGCGAGAAGGGAGAAGAGATCTCCCTCAAGAAGAAGAAAGGGCTGAACAGGGTCAAGGACTGCAGAGGTTAAGAAGGATAAGGGTTGAGAAAAGAGAGTTTTGTCATTTGGCATTTAACAGATCATCACTAACTTTGGGGGGTGGGGCAGAGTTTGGGTTGGATGATGAACTTGGAAGCCAGACTGTAGAGAGTTAAGAAGGAAATGAGAGGAAAGGAAATATCTTGTAGGCAGCCTTCTTGAGTTTAGCTACAAAAGGGGAAAGAGAGATTGGACAGCAGCCATTAAGGACAGGCAGGGACGATGGGAGAAATGCACATTCTGAACCCTCTGTCCCTCTCCCCCTCACTACAGGTATGTGGTTCTGGTTCGAGTGGTACTGATGGCCCAAGTTGACTCTGGTTGGGGGGGGGGGAAGGCAGTCTGAGCCAGGTGGGCATATGCTGGGCCCACTGCAGCCAGTACCTTATCTGTTGGGAGTGCCTCTAGGACCAAAGCATGCGTAATTTCCCTGGGAGAGGGGGCCAAGAAGGTACCTTGACAAAGACATATGGGACCAGGCTGGGGATTGAGGGTGGGTGACTAAAAACTGTTTTGTGGAGTCTGGGATGGTACAATGAATTGAGTGTGTCCAGAAGCTGGAATGAAGATGTGGCATGTTTGGGGTATTTTATTATGTCAAAGTACATTCAAGGTAATGTGGGCCTTTCTAGGGATATCTTTGAGGGGTACATAGGGATTTAGAATGTTGGATTGGGGTGTGTCAGAGATGTTGGAATAGATTGTTGATGGTCCACAAGAGTGTATTTGAAATACCTATGACCCATTTGGGGAGAAAATATTTAGAAGCAGTATGATGATCTAAGACTATAAGGAATAATTCAGGTGCTGATCTGCATTGCTAGAGGGAGTTTTCTCCCTGGGAGCACCTTACATCAATAAAAGCAGGTTTGGACCCCCAAAATACAAAATGCTGGGTGAAGGTATACTTAGGTTGTTCCATGGTGGTGGGAGCCTGGTCAGAGAAATAAAGGCCCAAGTGTGGCAGAGCACAGACTCAAGGTGGTGGGGGACCATGACCCCTCCTCCTCCCAGGGACCTGTCCCTTCACCTCCTATGCACATTGGAGCCCTGAAGTGCACATTGAAGCCAGGCTTGGTGTACACCAAAGCGAACCTCATCTTCCACTACTGGCAGCTGGATGACCACAAGTTTGGCCTGACTTTCCAGAGCCCAGCAGACACTGACGCTTTCCAGAAAAGCATGCAGACTGCCCTAGCAGAGCTGGTCCAAGGTAGATGTGGGGGGAGAGGAAGTAAAGAGGGGTTCTGGAAGAAACGAGTCAAGTGTATGGGGGTGGAGGGGCACCAGGGACTAGGGAGCTTGGGCCAGTAAAAGAAACTCCACCCCATACCCACGTCAGGAACCTAGCCACTGAGTGCTAGCCTGGCTGGTTCTGAATATAAACCAAATCCTGATTTGTCCTTTCCTTTTTAGGGGGGAGGGCCTTTCCCCCAACTGTACAAGTGTGCTATTGGTCCCGAAGATTCCTTCTCCAACTAAAATTTACAAACTGGGACTGTTCCTTCCTCCCCACTCTGCTTATTGTTTATCACCCAGAAGAAGCAGTTTTTGAATCAATCTAAGATCCACTTGGAGAGCTCTGAGCCCTTTCCAAATTTTCCCCTTTATACAAGAGAGTTGGACCTAGGGGTCTAAGCCTCCTTCCAGCTCCAAATGCTATGATCCTACCATGGGATTGAAGGCAAGGGTTAGGACCCTCCCTGTGCCCCACTCCAGTCTCATCCTCTTTTCTCTCCCCCCAGGCTCTCACTCCTCACCCTCTTCCTCTTCTTCCAACACCTCCCAGGAGCCCCCAGATGTCCTCTCCATCCGCAAGGTGAGTAACTTGGGAAAATGTCTGAAAAAAAGACTTAGACATCAGGTGAGAGATCAGCCTAGTGTTCAGATACGAAAAAGGTCATCATCATGGCAGTGTTCTGTTGGGTCAGAACTAGGAACAATGGTGGGGCAGGAAGGGTGGGGGTGGGGGAAGTATTGTAGAGTGGAGAAAAAAAATTTAATTATGGAATCACAAGACACACATTTGAGCCTTGGCTTTGCCACCACCAACCTGAGAGCAAACTATAAGATCAGCGGCCACTAGGGGGCGCAGTGTAAAGAGGGCTGTGCCTGCAGTCAGGAAGACCTGAGTTCAAATACGTCTTCAGACACTGTGAGTCACTTCTCCTGTGTCTGCCTCAGTTTCCTCAGCTGTAAAATAAGGATAATTATAGCACCTACCTCACAGACCTGTTGTGAGAATCAAATAAGATATCTGTAAATGCTGGCTAATATTCTTGTAGTTTTAGAGCACAAAGGTATTTTGGAGGCCATCAAGTTCACACCCTCCTTTCACAGAGAAGGAAACTACAGTTGAGAGAGGTTTGGCCCTTCTTCTTATCCTCCAGCACTTAGCGCTGAGTCACCTGGGGTAAGGTATGACCCTAACCAATTCAGGGTGATGGTAAAGTAACCTACTGAAGGTCCTTCAGCTACTAAGTGCCCAAGGTAGTATCTGATCCCACGTACAGTTCCCTAGCTATTGTACCATGCTGTCTCCCAGCCCTCCTCCAGCCTGGCACTCATGTGACCCTCTCATCCTTCCCTCTGGGTTTGCAGGGTTTCACTTTCTTTAGCTATAAAATAAGAGGAGATTGACAAGAATGGTCTTCAAGATTCTTTGAGAGGGGGCAGCTAGATGGCACAGTGGATAGAGCACCAGCCTTGGAGTCAGGAGGACCTGAGTTCAAATCCGGCCTCAGACCAAACACTTGACACTTACTAGCTGTGTGATTCTGGGCAAGTCACTTTACCCCAATTGCCAAAAAAAAAAAAAAAAAAAAAAAAGATTCTTTGAGAGGCAATAGGTTGGACTCAGACCAAGGATTTGGGTTTAAATCCTGCTTCAGATACCTACTAGTTAGTTGTAAGAGCCTGGACAAGTCACGTTATGCCCCAAGCCTCGGTTTCCCCATCTATAAAATGGAGATAACAAGAGCCCCTCACTCAGGGTTGTTGTGAGAATTGAATGATAAATATGTGCAAAGTTGTCTAGAAATGTCAGCTGTTATGATTTCCAGCTCTAAAAACATCTATTCCATTATGATGGAAGGAAGTCACCCTCCTGGTGGTCCAAGACTACAGAATTGGGCACTTTCAGTCTTATATTGGGAGCTAAAAAACAGAGTCATTCAACTCAGCTGTGGAATGGGGATGCCATGTAAAGTGATGTGCTCCCTGTCACTGGAGGTATCCAAGCAAAGACTAAAAGGAGATTTAGGGAGGCAATGTAAGTGGAATCAGAGCGCTTTGGGGTCAGAAACCCTTGCTTCAATGCCCCCTCTTCTGCTTACAGCTTGTGTGACCTGAGGCCAGCGGTAACTCTCTGGGCCTCAGGTTAAAATCTCATCTTTAAATGAGGGGGTTGAGAGACAGCATTATGGCTCATGTGGTGGACTTGGCAGTCAGAAGTCCTGGGTTCAAATCTTACCTCTGACACTCAGTAGCTCTCTGATCACGGACAAATCTGGGCCTAGGTTTCCTCCTCAGTAAAACAAAAGAGTTGGATCAGATATAGCCTCTAAGGTCCCTGAAGTCCCATCTATTTCTGAGAGACTGATTCTAAGGAGGTATGAGAGCCAGGATCCTGCATACAGGCCTGCAGTCACCACCCCTGGGGCCCTGTCATTCTGAGGTTGGGACGCTGCAGGACAAAAGGAAACTGAGTGCTGGGGACAGATAAATCGATGGGCATGGAAAATAGGGATGTGACCAAAATGGGGTCTGGCCTGAATCCCATGGGCTTGGGATGCTTCAAGCAGAGGGGGCTGTATGAATGGGGGAATCTGGAGCTTGGGCAAGGGACTGAAAGGGGTGGGATCCAGAGGCCCAGGGAGGTGGCAGAAAAGGACCATAGAGGCTAGAGTAAGGGGGATGCTGGAGTGGACCAGCACCGAAGACATCCGCCCCGCTCCCTACTTTATACCTCTCCAGACACACCGGAACAGCCAGTCTTCTTCCAGCTCCATCCGCCAAGAGGCTAGGCCTCCAGATCCAGCTATAGTCACTAGCCAGTCATCTGGTTTGGGCCCAGCCATGACCTCCCAACGCCGGCCTTCCCCCACACAGGTGGGACTGTTCCAGCCCTCCATTTGCTCAGGGTATGGGGGCGGGGGAGGGGGGGAGGAGAGGGGTAGACTGAGTTCCAGGAAAGCAGGGCCTGGAAGGCTGCCCTCAAGGGCACCTGGGACATGGAGGGGGGTGGGGTGCAGGGAGATGGCTGCACTTGGTACCACCTCTGGGTCTCAGAGGAAAGATAGGGACTTCCTGAGTGTCCAGGGGAAGAAATGCTTGGCTTGGAGGAACAGTACATTCTCTTTCTTTTCTTCTTCTTTCCTTATTTTCTTCATCCCATTTGCCAGAGTCCCCCGCAACTCCAGCAACTTCAGCCCTTCCCGGTAAGGCCGGAGGCCCCAGGAACCATGGCCGGCTGGGTGGGCCGAGGCTACGAGGATTATCGGAGAGCTGGCCCGCCCCCTGTGCCCCTGGCTGTGTCCTGTGTGATGCGCTTCGACAAGGCCGGCAGCATACCGCCCCCCGGTCAGGCTGTGAGCCCCACAGTGCCAAGGACCCAGGCATCCCCACCCCCGCCGCCCCCAACACCGACTCCGGCCCAACTCCTGGCCAAAGGCTCACCGTCTTGCCGTGTGACTGCAGGCTTCGCGGAAGAGGCGTCTGCTGCAGACGCGGTGCGCTGCGTGCATTGCCGGGCCCTGTTCCGCCGAGGCTCGGATGGGCGAGGGCGACACTGCCCCGAGGCCCCAGACCCTGGGGGCCGGCTGGTGCGCCGCCTCAGTTGCCTCTGGTGCGCGGAGAGCCTTCTTTATCACTGCCTGTCAGACGCCGAAGGCGATTTCTCGGACCCGTGCGCCTGTGAGCCAGGCCACCCGCGCCCAGCTGCGCGCTGGGCGGCCCTAGCCGCGCTCTCCCTCGCAGTGCCCTGCCTTTGCTGCTACCCGCCCTTGCACGCCTGCCACTGGGCCGCGGTACGCTGTGGTTGCCCCGGCTGTGGGGGCCATCACGAGGCGGCCCGGTGAGGGAGGCCTCGGGCCGCGATGGGGCGGCCCACAACCCGCGGTGCTCTGCCGTTCGAGCCCTGCCCCGGGCAGCCAGAGCGGGGAGCACCAGAGCCCAGACGTGCAGTTGCGGAGGCCAGCCCTGGGATAGCTCGGATCCCACCTGGCCTCCAGCCAAGGCTGGCCACTGAGATACCATCGTTGACCCTTCGCCCCCAGCAGCTCGTGCCCTCCTTGCTCCCTCCATCCTCCGGGAGGCATCTTTCTCTACCCTGTACTCTGGTCTTCCCTCCCAGAAAGCTCAGTGGACAATGGGGACCGTGATAGCCTGCTGCTGCCCACCCAGCGCCTCCTTCCCCCACCTCTGGGGACATCCCTTCCCACTCTCCCCAAGGTCCTACTCCTCTGAACTGAAGAACTCCATGTGACCCCCAGACTGTGGCCCCTCAGCAAACAGCTAAAGGAGAGGAAGGGCGCCTGCTGAAACGTTGGGACTGAAGTCTCTCCCTCCCCTCTTCCTCCCTACTCTTCCGGGTTCCAGAGCCTGCCAAGATCCAGGCACTAAAGGGAGAGAGACTGTGCCTCAGTCAGGGTTGGGAAGGCCTGCCCAACCCAAGAGCCACGGCTCTCACTATCCCAGGCCCGGGCCTTATTGCTGCAGACATGTGGGTGGAGAGGGGCCGGAGGAGACGCTCTGGCCACTCTCCCTCCTTCCATCCCTCCCAAAGTTTGGGCTCAGACCTTGGCCCCGCCCCATCCCAGCATCTTTGCCCGTACTTTAAATTAATGATCTATCCGTCCCTGATTGGCCCAGAGTATCTGTAGATCTGACTCCTCTTCCGGGCCATTGGGAGGGAGGGGGAAGGGAGGGAGAGCCCGGGAAACAGTGACACCTGAGTCCCACCTCTCCCCACCACCTTTCTCCCTCTCTGTGCCTAGGTCTCCTCTTGCTGTAGAGAGGGGAAAATTTCTAGACTTCACCTACCTCGTTTTTAAGGGGAGTGGGGCAGGGGAAAGAAGAGGGTGTGTGTGCTTTTGGGTGCTCTGGATCTACTTATGAGGACAGGTGGGACCCTCTCTTTGCCCTGGACCTCCCCAGGCCTCAGTTCCCCGCCTTAACCCACCTGTCATCCATGACCCTCCCATCCCTTCCAGGCTTAAGCAGACTTGGGACCCCAACAGTGGGTCAAAGTTCTCTCCTCTGTCTAGACCAGCGCCCTTCCCCATTACTATCTCCCTGCACCAGGAATGGGGGAGCCGAGCCTGGACCTCTCTTCTCTGGTCTGTCACCTTTTATGTGAGACAAAGTTATGGAGCAAGAGGAGGGTGTTATGGTGTGGGTACCTTCTTCCCTGACCTCAGGCCCCCCCCCCAACTGAAGAAAACCTGAGGGAGATTCAAGATAATGTTTGTTGCCAATTCACTCGCAGCCTGGCTTTTGCTTTTTTTATGCTTAGTAGGATAGCCCTATCAAGAGATACTGAGGTCTTCCTCAAGCTACGGGAACACCTAGGAATAGCCTAAAATGTGAGGGCAGGGGTCACACTGGGAGCCAGCCCTGACTCAAGGAGGCCAAAGGACACTCGAGGGAAATTCCATGGCTGGGAGAGACAGGGTTACGGATCTAGAACCGCAACAGGCTTCAGAGGTCACCTTTTACAGAGAGGGAAACTGAGGACCAGAGGAAAAGCATCTGCCCAAGGACACACAGGTAGGAGATAAGAGCAGGCAAGCTATATGTCACAGTGAATAAGAATACTGGGCCTGCCCTCGACAAGACCCGAGTTCAGCGCCAGCTTCAGATACTAACTAGTTATATGACCTTGGGCAAGTTTGCCCGTCTGCAAAATGGGTGTTATAATAGCATCTCCCTCAGGATTGTTGGATAAGATATATTGCATTAAAGCGCTATATAAATGCTAGCTATCATTTGTAAGAATATTTTTAAAGCTCGGTGCAAATGCTAGTCATTACTGTTATTACTCGAACCCAGGGCCTCTGACTCCAAATGCAGCGCTCTTTGCACTGAACTTCTGCCTGTTCAGATCCATAGGAGTGGGAACGGACTCTGGAGTACTAGGGGATCGGTTGAGGGGAGGGAGGCAAGAGTACATGTATGCACACGCGCGCGCGCGCACGCACACATACATACACACACACACACACACACACACACACACACACACACACACACACACGCTGAGGTCACGACGACCGGGCTGGGCTCTTCCACCAGTCACGAACGCTCCCTCGCCTGGGTTCCGGCTGCTATGGAAACGAACGCCCCCTCGGCCTCGAACCTGCAGGCTCGCCCCGGCGGGGAGAGCCAATGAGGAGGCGGGGCCCGGTGAGGCCCGCCCCGCCCCCGAGCTGGGAGGCTCCCAAGCCGCAGCCGCAGCCGCAGCCGCCGCCGGCCCGGGGGCGGGGCCAGCCGTTCAAAGGTGGCTTCTCTGGGAGGGAGGGCCCTGGACCGGCCGGCGGCCTGGGGCATGGCGGCGTCGGAACAGTCGCCGCCGGCGGACAGCCTGGAGGAGGCGGCCTGGCTGGCGCGGGCCGTGCGGGCCCTTGGGTAAGGGCTGGGCAGCGGCGCGCTCAGGGTGGGCACGGGCGGCCTGGGGCACCTGCCAGAGCCGGCCCCGCCTCACCTCCGCCTCCTCCCCGGGGCAGGTGCGAGGTTGGCTCCCCGGGGAAGGAGCCCTGGGCGGAGGCGGAGGCGGGCGCCAGGCTAGCCGAGGCCGTGGCTCGCGGAGTGTCGTGCGCCCACTTCCGAGCCCTGTGTGCACGTCTGGCTGCCGAGCTCGGCGCGCTGGGCGCCTTGAAGGAAGGGGCGGTCCTGAACGCCGGAGACGCAGACGGTGAGCGGAGCCCGCCGGTCCGGACGGGCCCGGGAGGAGGCGGGGCCCGCCCCTGGACCGGTGGGAGCGTGTCCCGATGGCTAGTACGGGGTGGGCCCGGCCCCAGCCCCAGCACTCAGCGCCCCTTCCCCCGCAGGCCCCGAAACGGAGGACTGCTTCCTTCTGGAGCTGAGCGGCCTGCTACGGGAGCTGCACTGCCCGGACCGGGCCCTCACAACGGGGAACCCCACAGCTCGGCTCCGGACCCCCCGCAGCCGCCTGAGCCTGCTGCGTGAGGGCGGGGGTGGGGTCAAGCGCAGAGGCGGGGCCGGCGTGGAGAGGGGGCG